TCACCATGGTTAGATGAGAAAATAGATATAAATCATTTTCTTGTAAACAAATAATTATTTTTCATCATCAACTTGCTTTTTTTAATGTTTAATATAATAATTAAAGATTGAATCCTAAATTTGTAGTTAAAAAGAGAGTCCAACCACACCACATGAATAATGATATGCCTTATACTTGGAAAGATATATCTATCCATTTTAAAGGGTGTTGGGATTAGTTGTTTAGATATAATTGATAATTGATAGTTGACGACTAATAATCATTGTTTATAATTCAAAATATCTAATCTGTTTAGTTAGAGGTAACAGCTAGCAGTTGTTTACAAAACAATGAAACAAACACCCTCTTAAATTTCATTATTATTATACCCAACAGATCTTTAATTGGATTTGAAAGAAAAATGTTGAAAATCAAATCAAAATTACATGCCACCTGATGTCCAATGTTTGATTGTCTTTGGTGCCAAACCCATCTAATCTATTAACAATAATATTTCATTTAGTGTTTCAAGAACCAAACCAATTTGGCCTTGATTGAACTATACTCAATCATAAACTATTTGGTTTGACATTTGAACTAGTTTTATTAATTAACTCAATATAAACTAATGAAATCGATAACTAATGAACCAGTAATAACCAGTGGTTGATGAATCGATTGGACTAGTCCATGTTTTGGAGAAAAATTATAGGACATTCTTGAAAGGAATCGAACCCTTCCTTACATTTGGACAAAATTAGACACAAGCTAGCAAACCAAAGCCACTCCTGGGTTAATTGACTTCATATATACATATATATATATAAATATATATCTAGAAGGCCAATGACCAACCGAATCAAGAAACGCTAGAAGTCCCAATCCCTTGCGATTTGTCCTAAAAATGCCATCCTCGACTTAAAAAAGGTACTTTCCATTAGGGCTAAGTAGTAAAGAAAATTTTCTATACCAAGCTATTTAGGTTTAACTTTCTTACTCTCTCCATCGTGGTGTGGATTTTGAAAAACGAATATCTTTTCTTTCTAAAGATCTTTAAGAAAGAAGTTGACAATAATTGGCGTAAAGAAACTTTCATTTATATAGAAACATAAATATATATATATATAGAATAGAGGCTACAAACTCTTTTCTTTACCAAATATTTCTTTTAAACTAAATAATACATTAAAGAAAAGTGAATAAAGAAACTTTATACATATTTAATAGAGTGCAGATCATAAAAAGTTTGACCTGAATAAGAAGGCTAATTCCTCTTGCTTTGTTTTTCTAACAAATTTCTCACTTCTCTAATCTATACCTTTACATTGAGAAGTGTCTCCTATTTATAATAGAAAACTAACTCTAGTTACAAGGGAAAGTAACTATAGTAAACAAACTCTACTTTTACTTACAAAAGTAATCGTGGTTAGCCGTTTTATTCTTTTGGAAAGACAAAAAAGTAGCTAACTTTTAAGGGACCTATAGTTAGCTATTCTTATTTTTTTGGAAAGATAAAAGTAGCTAACTTTAAAGGAACATGTCACATGGGCGATCGATTTTGAGTGAGGTATGCATTTGTTCATTTGTCAAATTAAATTATGATCTCTCCATTAGATTTTTAAGATTCTCCCATTCGACAGAGTCAAGATCATTAGTGTCCATTCTAGCTATATAATCTCCAGAGTGATCTTCTCTGTTTTTGTATTCCTTAGAATAAAGGTGCAACAATTAGTGTAGCTTATCTAAGATATGAAAAGAATCTCTCTTAGACTCTGGCTATTGTGAAACAAATTAGGGTCAAGATAAATTTTTTGAATTTTATCCTTAATAAATAGTGTATATCCAATTGTAAAATCATTGACCTTAACCTGCATATATGCCATAGTCTTGACTCTTTAGTACCCAAGCTATTTGGTGAGGGACTAGTTAATGGGTGGCAAAGCCTGAACATCTTTGTGGAGAAGCGGTAGTTTACTTCTTCTATTTTATGTTGTATTGGAAGTAGATGCCTACCTTTCCATTTAAGTGCTTTGCTCTGAACTAATGCCTCAACATACTTTGGAGGCATACTTTCTAGGATAGCTATAGCAAACTTTCTTCCAAAAAGATCTATATCCTTAAATTTTGTAAAAATTACTTAAAAAAAGACATAGTCCAAGAGTAACTAGAGAGTTAACTCAATAATTTATCCTTCAAGGAAGAATTGAACTGGAGTAGGCAAGGATAGATCTAGAGATACTCTGCAAATGATATAAAGGACTTGACATTAGTAGTCAAATTGTTCAAGCAAAATTCCTTGTGTAGTTTCTCCTTTCTACCTATTAGACTGTTTGAATTTTCCTTACTATTGTGGAATAATAAGTATCCCAAGTAAAGCTTATGCCGATTCTGTTAATATTATCCTGAGCCAATTATTGAAGGAATTGTTGAACTGCCTTCAATTTGGTGTGCCCCAAGACTTTTGCTTTTTGAAAGATTAGCTCTCTTGAATCTTCAAGCAATTTAGGCAAGGGAATTCTCAATTTGAAACACCTCCTAAGTTGCCCTTCGGGATCATCTATTAATGGAATAAATGTTGAACTATTAGAAGACTCTCCAATAAAGTATTTATTAATTCTTAGTGAGGGAATAAATGTCTTCCACCTACTACTAGGGCTAAGGTGGTCTTCATTGCTTTGGTTGGAAGATCCTACAAGTTTGGAGTTCAGTAAGGGCTAGTGAAAAAACTATCTCCAAGTTGTTTTTAAGCAAATTCAATAGCTTCTTCTATTAGATAAAACCCTTATAGAGTGGTGTTCTAAAATTTCATATTTTGAACAAAATTTTGTCCCACTGCTTATAAACTCAAGGGGTTTTTCCCTTGATTAGAACATAACAATTAAATTTATTATATTTTGTTAAATACTACCCTAAGTTATTTAAATTAAATTCAAAGAGGTTCAAGTTGCCAAAGCTCTCCCAAAGGTTGTTTAGGAGTTGATGAGCAACTAGATCCAAATTAAGTTGTTCTATATAGGACCTAACTCTAAAGGTGTTGCCTCTATTGTTGGCTTTGTTGGAAGTGTAGCATCTCATTCTAATCCTACACAAGAAAAGAATGAATATATCTACTTAGCCAGTTAGCAAGATAATTATCTATATTTTTTATATGTTCAAATTTTACTTTGAAACCATTTCTTGTTATAATAGTTACAAAATCCATCCAATGTTTAGAAGAAAGATTTTTTTTCATTTTTCCTTTGGAAATATTTTACAATTGCCTCACAATCAATCTTAATTGTAAAAGTGTCATTCTATATAAAATGTCTGAAAGAATTAAACCATTTATTATTTCTAGTATTTCAAAATCAAGTGATGTTAAAGAATTTTACTTTCACTATATAATCCACTAAAATATCTATAAATGTGTTCATCTTTTTGAGATGAAAATTCATTGAGTTTAACTAGCAAAGTTGCTCCCCATCCTTTAGGAGTACTATCAATTTTGACTATTTTGTAGCTTGATTCCAACGGTAGAGTTAAAGAAGGTAAATTTTTAACTTCATTTTTTACTTTTTTATAAGTCTAACGTAGCTATTAAAAAAACTTTTGTCCTTTGGGACTAAGTTTTGCGTATAATGGTCTAGGTAGTTTGGATAAATCTTTTATATACGTACAAGTATAGTTTTGTATGCCCAAAAAATTTTTGAAGTTCTTTTCTTTCCTCGATTTTGTCAGGAAAAACAAGAATCCTTTTTACTATATGATCTTGTATCTAAATTTTTTTCTATCCAATCCCCATTCTTAAAAATTCAATTTACTTTCTAAAGAGTTTCATCCTTTTTTTAGAAATTATAAGACCATTTTCAAGAATTCAATAAAAACAATTTGAAAATGTTTGATATGCTTTAATCTCAATTTGGTTGAAGACTAGAATACTATGGATATACTAAGATAAAATTAAATGCTTTTTGAATATTTGATCCATCTTTCCTTAAAAAATAGAAGGTGCATTTTTTAGTCCAAATAGCATGACTTGCCATATAAAAAGTCCTTCAGGACATGTGAAGGCAATCCATGGAATGGATTCCTTTTCCATTTTAATATGCTAGAAACCAAACTTACAATCAAACTTATTGAACATTTTTGAATTCTGAATCAATTAATTAGTTGGTCTTTATTTAGTATTCTATATGTGTCTTCAAGTATTGTCATTTAGTTTCTTGTAATTTATAACCATCCTAACCTTTGCTCATTTAATTTTTGAGTGGTTTTTTTACCATAAAGGCTATAGAGGAATGCCTAAAATGTTATATTACTCCCAAGGTCAAAAGTTCTTTTATTTAAAATTTAAATTCTTGCCTATCAAGTGGACTATGATCCATCTTGCTGCAAGTAATTCTTAATTTTGGATTTATTATATCTAATTTTGCTATATATTTATTACGATCCCAATATTTAATTAAGTGTTCTCCTAAGACTCATGTTTCATTAGCTACTGTAATTAACTCATCTAGATCTTCTTCTTTTTTGTAGTTTTTATTTATTTTTTCTTATTTTTTCTTCGTTTTGTAAATTTGAAAGACTCTTTTCCATATTTACAAATATTCTTACTTCATCATTTATCAAATTATCTAAAAATTAATAATCTATAGAATCTTTGGTTACTTTTAAAACCTCTTCTAAAGAGCTTTGTATATCATCAGATTCTAATAAATCATCAAAAAACTTTTCATCACTGAATTAATTTCTATTATAGTCAAAATGCTTGTTTAGCTTGATTTGGATTTGTTGGGGGTGCTATTTCCTCTATTTTTTAAAGACTAACAACATATTTATCTATTGGGGTGTAACAAAATCGTTTAGCGAATTATACCCCATCAAAGAAAATTGTCATTTGGCCTTGAAAGTAAGTGATAAAGTTTAGGCCAACTGTAAGGGGATAATAATTTTGGATGTTATGTATAATTACTTGAGGTAAAATGTATTTTTCTCCAAAAGTTTTTAATCCCCAATCCTAAAAGGAAATTTTTGCATCCTTTAAGCATTTATAATATTTGAGTTGAGTCCCATCCATTTGAGTTCCATAAATACTTTTCATTTGTGATACTTGAGAACTTGAGTTTTCAATTTCAAGGATGTGAGATTTTGAAGCTCTTATATCAATCATTCCTAAAATTTCTTTTGTTTCTCCTTTCTTAAAGGTAATTGAACACATTATGTTCAACAAAAAGCTTGGATCTTTAGAGTTTGTTCAAACATTAGCTAATAAAGTAGAGATTTGTTCTTCTTTATTTGCTCTCTATTCATCAGCACCTATTCTTTTAAAGGGAACTTTTGCCAATTAATTCTCCAAACCCTTTATCTTTTGATGGAGAAATTTCATTTGTTCTTCTAATTGCAAGATATATATTTCTTTTGGATTGAGAGTTTATTCATTGATTTCATTTCTTGCAATAGAGATAGTCTTTCTCTATCTCTAATCAAGTGATCAGTATTTAAGTTTTTCTATATCTCTAAGTAACTAATCATTATTTAATGTAGAGATGGTTTCTAATTTACGAGTTCTAAAGGCTATACCTATTCAACTTTTCCTTTTGATTTTTTATAATAGAATATACAATATACTTTTGAGCATATTGTACATTTCATTGTTGTAGAAGGCTGTGTGAACCTTTGATAATCTAAGCATTTTTCCCATTATGATAATTGGTTTGATTGTCATAAGTGTTTACGATTAGAGTCTATTTTGATCACTAGGATCTTAACACTATTCAAACTTTGATCGAGAGAGTTTATAAATTGTAAAGATTTTGCTCTTTAAAATCTATATTATTCTCATATTCTGAATTAGACTTAGATATATCTTCTATAAACACATATTTCAAAATGATGTTATAAACATCACTTTCAAATTCATATTTATTTATAGAGACAATGTCATTGTCTTCTTTAAGATTTGCTTATATGTGGGATCATTTTGTTGGTTTATTTTTGTTTGGGCACTTATTAGCATAGTGTCCTGGGTCTCCACATATATAGCATTTCTTGTCCATTTCTAGATTTTTGGGCTTTTTAACATACTTCTCCTTTTTACTAGCTTTTCCTTCTTTCAAGTTTTTACTAAGTATAAGAGAATATGTTTTCTTTTGATGAATTTTTTAGGTTTGCATGAAAAACATTCTTTTTGAGTTTTTTATACCTTTTTTTGTCCATTATATGATTCTTTTGAAGAATCATATCATATCCTTTAATTGAAGATTTACAAGAACCAAACTTTTGTTTTTTAAGGGATTTTTGAATTTAAATATTTGTACATTTCTCTCTTAATATTTTATATATAAATAAAATTCTAGGGCCTACTCCTTGTTGAGGTGCAGGGTTGGATGCTAACCATTTGTCTTTAATTTGTTTACCAAGGGTGCTTGGTGACTTATCAAAGATTCTATTATTTAGGTTTTCATCAAATCCTTTGCTTATTTGAGTAAAAAGTTTGAGAAAATCATTGGAGAAGGATTCGATTTGATACCATGATGTCAATTGAAGGACTTCAAGTTCCTTAATAGCTTTATTTTATAAAGCTCTTTTGGAATCAACAATTATATCAGATCTTAAAAATATCTTTTGAATTAAAGAAATAAAATGTATGGGTTTTCTCTTGAATCTTTTGTTTTAGCAACTAGAGTAGAGTTCTCTTTTGAAGGTATTCCAATACAATTCTATAGTTGGGTCTAATAGTGTTTATAGGAATTCAAACATCTCACCATCCATAGATCCATTAATCCATGCTCAGCAAGCATCTCTTTCCCATTGGTATATTATTTTAGCCCAAAGTAGTGGATTCCAACAGGTAATTCTAGAATAGTTCCTTCTATTTTGCAATAAGTAATTGGTTTAGGTTTATTTCCATTTTTTTCCCAAATTGTGTCCTTTCTCTATTTTCTCCCTTATACTCAAGTGATGCTTGAGTTATGGGATATCTTCCTCCTAACTAATATGTTCTAAATCCGAAGACTCTAGATGTTCTTAGAGTTCTAAAATTTTCCTTAATTTTGGATCTGGTTAGAGCACTAAGGTTTAAGTTAGGATTAGAATTATATTTGGATTATCAAGGGTTGTATTCATGAATATTTTTCATGTTGGGATTTATATTCATGAATACTTTGAAGTCTAGGTTTTTGATTTTTGAAGTAAGCCTTAACTGAAAGTTCTAAGTCTAAAATTTGATCCTCTATGTCTTTTCCAAAATAATTCAAAGTTAAGGCCTCTTTTGCATTAACTTTCTTTCCCTTTGAAGAGAAGTAAGCTTCAATAAATTTCCATTCTTTATTATATTTATCTTTAATTGGGCCCCATTTGGTAAAATGTTCTCTCCGTTTTCTTAAAGTTTGAAGCCAAGAAGGTTTGTTTTCTTCACTTTTGAATTTTTTAGTGAAGTGCAACATCTTGATTTCAATATTTTCTTCATTTTCTTCTTGTTCAGGAAGAATATTTTCATAATCATTAACTCATTTCTCCCTTATAATTTTGATATAAGTTGTTTCGAGTGGGTACCATTATGGGTTTACTTAAGAATTTTGATGATGTTCCATTTAGTTTTATTTAGATAGATTGAATCTAAATGTTTAGCTTAAATGGCCTTAATTCCTTTTATCGCATATATCTCACATATTTCTTCACTGGTTACTTTATATTTGGTAATGCCATTATGGGTAACTTGGCCAACAAATCCTGTGCAAATTAAAATGTTCTTTTCTCCCTCAGTCATGGAATAGCCTTTGGTCATGATTCCTACTTCGATAAATTGCTTAAAGGCTTTTATATCCATTTGAAAATTGGAAGTGAAGTAAGCAAATCCCCCTTGTTGATCTATTTCAATAGATCTTATAAGGGCTTGAACCATATCCTAATGTCTTGTGTTTAAAAGAGTTAGAAGGCATTTTGTACTTAAACCTATTCTATGGAGTGTTTTAACCCCCATGGTGATAAACTCTATGTGAACCAATAAGTATTTCATCTTTTTGAGATTAAAATATCCATTTTCACTTAACAATCTTAAGGTAACACTATCACTATCTTTGATACAAGGGATCCGGGCTTTTTGGTAATGTTGAAAGATAGATCTAGCACCAAACAAGGAATTTGTATTTTCATAAAGATGCTTGGGTTTTACCAAGTCAAATTTCTAAGTAAAATAGTGACAATAAACATTAATAAATAGTAACATAATAGGAAACTTGACTTTTGGGCAAAGAAATTAAGGAAACGGTGACCTTTTGATAAAGAAATAATGCAATCTTGATGTTTTGGCAAAGAAAACTCGGTAAATCAAAGTTTGTCAATTTTATATATACATATACATATATATATATAGAGGGATGCAGGGTTTTACTTACATAAAATGTCAATAATTTATTTCTTCATTTTTAATATTTAAAATTTATTCATATTTATTTAAGATAATTATTTTTCATTTAAAAATCATAATAAATCTCAATCATTAAAAGTAAAAAGATGAATGATTGAGATTTTATATAAGTGTGATATATCGAATTTGTGTGTAAATGAATCCTTTCTCATATATATATGAGAAATGATTCACTTACACACACATAAATTCGACACACCACACATTTATCCCTTTTCTTTCAATAATGAGATATATTCATATTTAATGGGAAGTATATTTATTAGGAAGAGGAATCAATTTACACACTAGTTTTACATATTACGTTTATACAAAATCTTAACCATTTATTTTTTTATTTTCAATAGTTGAAATATCATGACTTTTAGATAAAAAAAAATAATTATCTTTAGTATATATAAATAAATCTTAATTATTGAAAGTTGAGAGATGAATTGTTGAAATTTTATATAAGACTTGTGTTTAAGTAAATCACTATTCTATTAAAAATAATTATTTTTTTATATAAAAATTGTGATAAATCTTTATAATTGAAAATGAAAAAATAAATAGTTAAAAAGTTGTGTAAATGAGATGCATAAAATTTATAGATAAGTAAATTCTTCCTATATATAAATAATCATTTCAATAATATGGAAAAATCTTGGTTGAGATTATAGTATGGTTTAGGGATGTCAATGGAGGCCCACGGGGTCGGGGAGTCTCTCCCCGTCCCTGTTCCTACAAATGGTAGGGATGGGGATCCCCACGGGAATTTTTAACAGGGGTTAGATTTTGCCCCCTATCCCCATTCCCCACCAATTAATATCCAAATATATATTTTTTACATCAAATATAAATAAAGATTAATTTAACATAAATAATTAAATCAATAAACTTATTCCAAACGTAAATAAATATTAATCAAACGTAAACTCTTCAAACACAAGTTGTTCCAAATATAAATAGAGATTAATCCAATATAAAACAACATACTTGTTCCAAACATAAGCAAAAATTAATTTAACATAAATAAAACAACTAAACCAACATCCAGTACGAAGGGAGGCAACCAAGAGTCAACTCAAAACACCTTAACTCTCAAATTTAACAATTGCTCATAAAAAAACCTACAATACAATTAGTAAATACTTCATGTTAACATATTTATAGAAAAACTATTTATATTATTAGTATAAAAAAAGGTCATCTATATTTTACCTCTGAATTATTGTCTTTATTACGATCCACATCCTCATTTTGAGTAAAGAAACATATATCATCCAAAGAACCTATTTTAAACATGAAAATTTAAATTGAAAATTAACTACTTAATTAAAGAATAAAAGAAATATACCATAAAAAAATAAAAGAAATATCAACTTAATACCTTTGAGATCTGTTCTTAACTAATCTTGAAGACACATCAATCTTGAATAACTTTGAAATTCTTCCCTTTCACAATTTCACTGAAATTCATAGTAAACTCTAAAAATTAAATAAACAACCAAGCATTCATAGTTTTCTCAATTTCTTTTATCCTTTTCATGAAATAATTTAAAACCCATATTGAGCAGTTAATAAATCTAGCAAATTCTAGAAAATCTAGACTTTCTCAATGTTAAATCAACCCATAAATTATTTAAACTTCTTACCATTGCAGTAGGGGAGCAACAATGGTGCAGCAAGGGCACAGAAGTAGTGCAGCAGCGGCGCAGCAAAGGTATAGAAGTGGTGCAGTAGCAGCGTAGCAGAGGCCAAAAGTGGTGAACATGGGCGCAACAATGGTGTTGAAGCGGTGAAGCAGTGGCGCTGAAGTGGTGTAGCAAGGGCGCAGCCATTTGCGATTGGTAGAGGAGGGCCAAAGGGGAAGCTGGGAAGGTTGAAGATGACCTAGGTGAGAGACACAGTCACACAAGAGAGTCCCGAGAGTGAGAGGAGGCAGAGGCAGTGTTGTGAGAGGTGAGATCTAAAGGTTGAACGTGACCTAGGTGTCCCGAGAGGCCGAGAGTGAGAGGAGGCAAAGGCAGAGGTAGGTTATGAGAAGTGAGATTCGATTCATCTGAAGAAATGAATTAGGGTTAAAAGTATTAGGTTGGGTTGGGTTGAGTTGAAAAAAATTGGGTTAAATTTTATTGAATTGGGTTTGGGTTTGAAAATTATATTAAATTTAAAATGATATTATTTTTTTTTATTTTTTGCGGGGACAAGGATCCTCGCGAGGCCCGTAGAGATCAAGGCAAAATTGCCATCCCTAGTATGGTTGCCTTTAGATTAAATACAAACTTTGTTTCATCTTATGCATAAAAATTTATCAATTATCTATAACAATAGTAGTTATACTATCTGTATATATAAATTATGCAATTTTCTAATTGTGTCATTAGAGAGGAGGTTAAGGTATATTTATTTTATATTTTTAGTATTAATTTATATTGACAAAAAAAATTGATTTTAATTTTATAATTGCCTAATTAAAATATTTCATATGGCATTAATATTAAAAATAAAGTTTATTTTTAGTATATTACTCGCATCCTTAAAGTGAGAAAAACTTTATATATTATGAATGAGTTTTTCTATGCTTAAAACATCAATTTGATCTTTTAACTTTTAAAATTGTATTAATATTTTCTTTTAACTTTAAAAAATATCAAAATTGTCCCTAAATTTTATTTTTTGATATAAAATAGTCTTCAAACTTTAAAAATAATACTAATTTAGTCTTTAAATTTTAAAGAAAAATATCAATTTAGTTCTTGAACTTTGGTTGCAAGTACCAATTTTATCTTTTAATTTTAATTATATATCAATCTAATTTATAAATAAAAATATACTAAATAACAAAATATAATTATTTGGTTTTATATGTTATTAGTATTTAAAAAAAACAAATTAATAGTCCATTATTAATTATGTTATTAGGTAAGGGACATTTGTTTTTAATATTTAAAAAAGAAAAACTATTAACCATTAACTTTAATTAAATAAATTTAATATTTTAAATTATAAATACCAATAATTAATAATTATCAATAATGAAATATTAACTATCCGCATCCTACTTCCAAAACGGTTCAATGACTGGGGTTCATTGGTTTCATCAAACATCAGGTGAAAACTGACATACGCGCAGAGAACGGTTGTCTTTCCATACAGCCGTCTAGGTGATGAAGGGATTGTTGCTCGCGTCGGTGGTTATTTCCGTCCTATCGTTGTTCGCCGGTGAACCAGACGGCGCCCGAGAATGGCAGATCCTCACCAAGCAGAACTTCTCCTCCCAGATCCGCGTCCACCCTCACATCCTCCTCATCGTCACTGTCCCGTGTGAATACTCTCTCCGATGTTACTCAACTTCATTGTGATCCCTTTCAATTTCAGTTATGATCTTCAATTTCGATGCGCAGGGTGTGGCGAATCTCGGTCCCTGATGAAGGAAGTAGCCCGGATGGTCGCCGAAAGGCGGGAGGAGTTTGGCTCCCTGAAGCTGATGTTTTTGTATAGAAACACGGAGAGAATGGTAGCAAGTGCTATTGGTGCGGCGGAGGGGATTTCGGTTATCTATTATCACCATTCTGTGTCGTACAACTACCGAGGAAAGCTTCGAGCATGGAATATTTTGCATTCGGTTCATTGGTATTTATCGATTTCGCCTGAAGAGCCCCTCAAACGGTTTGATTCTCAAGAGGACTTGAAGTCGTTGCTCGAGTCAACAGACCGGGCGTTCCTTCTGGGTGAATTTTGTGGATGGTCTCCTAGTTTGATGGCGAAAATTAGGAACAATGGAACTGAAGATGATTTCCGCATGCAGGGTGAGTGAATCATTCTTGAATCTTGATTGCAAGTAACATCGGATAACTTTTTTAATTTTCCTGTTTTACTTCATTTCATCATGTAAGCAAGTACTTGCTTGGTATTAATACATGCTTTGGTTTTAATACATATCTGGATGAATTAGCATTGGGATCTGATTTGTAGGTTCAGTTTCTACAAGTAATGATTGGATACTGCCTGCATATCTCTTGGTTGATGCTTTTACTGGATTCTGACTTCCGAATTCTGACTACTACCCTCCTTTTTTTTCTTTTTCTTTTTTCTTTTTTTTTTTTTTTTTCTATTGTTAGAAGCAGGAAGTGTTTGAATGGTGGGTTTCTGTTGATTGCTTGACTTTAGACATTGCAGCCCCTGAGGCCATGCTATTTCTTGGGAAATCCTTTTCTAATTCTAATAGCTGTGCAAATAAAGGCTAGAATGATAAGTTAATAACTATAGCATCTTTGTGGAAAATTATGTAGATATAAAGGAAACACTTTCCTAACTTTATTTTTTCAGTATATCTAATGACGGGCTATAC